ACAATCGCTTCAAAGCTACTTGCCAACAGTTGCCATTTTTGAAAATATTATTTTGAAATAAAGTTCCAAGTAATAAAAACATTGTAATAAAGTTGTTGAATAAACCGATACCATATCTAAAAACTTACTGAAAAATGACTTATTCATAGTAAAAATATAAGCTCGATGCGTTTTTACGTTGCTTTCCTTCAACTGCAGAGGGTTTTTAAATCGTCTATATCTTCAAAACCGGTCATTTCTTAGCATATTGCTGCTCTTTTTTATCGCTAGAAAATTAGTTGGACCTTCCAATGACATCAATGGTTGAGCGATATGTGTAGAGTGTCACCAACAATCTTCAAATGAAGTTAGTCATTTTTACGTTGTAAAGGAATGGAGTACCTACCCCTATCGAGCATCAGGGGTGACGTCACTCAGGATCTGTCTCTGATTGGTCGGCGGGAGAGTGACTGTACAGTCTGTCTTAAAAGTACCGCGCAAAGTAACAGTGGATCCATCAAGCCTGACCGAGGAAGGACTGCTGGATTTGAGTCACCGAAACAATGGATATCCTCGTCCATTCCCCAGGTCAATTGATTCGGTGACTTTCAAATTAACACAGGCCCTTCCTCGGTTAGGGTTGATGGATCCACCGTCACTTTGCGCGGTACTTTTAAGACAGACTGTACCTTTTATAGATGGCCTTGCATCCAAGTGAAAAAAGGGGATTGCGGGTGGGAATGCAATCCACTTCGGGACTCCGATAGGAATGTGGATTGGGAATGCAATCCTTTCAAAAAGGATTTTACTGATGCCTGCATACAAATCAGTCGCCCAAGTCCCAATGTGGACTCAAGCCTGCCTCGTTCGCGAGGTATGCGCCGATTTATGAAAACAAAATGTCGAGATCGGGAACAACTGAATGTGACTGTACGTAATCATCTCAGTTTTCGAGGGTATGGCCAAATACGTCCGTCTTTCAGGGAAACTATAGTGTGCAATGTGCATATTGGAATTTGGACAGCGTTGGACTCTTTTCGTGGAATGTAGCGAGCTCGTTTTTGAAGGCCTTCAGATTTTTCTAGACTAAGGTTTAGCGTTAGCATACATGAACGCATTAGTGTTTTCATGCAAACTAAGCACATCATGAGGTACTTTTTAGTTTTTTTGCTCTTTTGCATTGACCTGACCAGATATCGACCTGACCCATTAACCCTATTCCTGGCGGGGGGGGCCTCAGGAGCCCCCCCCTGAGGTTTTTTGGTTATTTCTCCCAAACGCGTTGAGCTAGGAAGCTCAAATTTTCTGACTTTTCCTAAAAGGCTTCTACGCAACATGTCTGAAAATTTTAAGTTGATTTGACCTCAGGTCAGGTCACCAGAGGCGGTTTGGTGACCCTACCTCAGAAAAGTTTGCAATCACGCCAGAGCTAGAGTTTTTGACCGATCAATTTCTTCTCTTCAGGCTTTAGTTAGGGTACCAGTATGTGCAATTTGTATATCTCGGAATTTTGATATCGGTGACCTAAGGTCAGGTCAGTTTCGCGACCTCCCCATTATAAGTCAATGGGGGAAAAATCAACTCCCTGTTTTTACCACTAAAACGGGTCGGAATGGCCCCATATACCATACATGACTTCATATACGATCAACCTTCACTACCTTGAGGTCTGTTTTGCTGTTGGGCAGCTGTGAGGTCATGTGACGTCATCAAAGGTCACCAAAGGTTTTTGGCCAATAACTCCGTACAGGAACAAGATACAGACGCGTGAATGGTCTCATTGTGTTCAGCTCGTCAAGACGCATCGAATGATATACATGATGACCTCGAGGTCACGTGACCTGAGGTCAACCTTTGACCTTGACCTTTCGAGGTCAACATATATATCATTCGATGCGGATTGACGAGAGGATCACGATGATGCCCTTAGTTTGTTCCTATCTTGACTAATTCGAAAGTTATTCGAGAAAAACTCTCCATATCTAGCGCCGCCATTTTGACTTTTTCGACCCCTGTGACGTCATCTTTGACCTGACCTGAAAATGACCTTAGTAAAAATTGTAGATCTTGACCGTGCGTATCCGATGCCGTTTACCGTTTGTCGCTATCTTGCTTCGTTCTCGAGATCTCAGGGGGGGGGGGCCGAATCGGCCCCCCCCGCCAGTTTCTTGTCCCGGCGGAGCCCGCCAGGAATAGGGTTAAACACGTTCGAACTTCGAAGTCGTATCATTTCTAAAATATTCATGCAAAATACATGAAATTTTGGTAGTATCGACGTTTGACATATTTTGATGTCATGGCAAAGTTTGGTTGTAATATCTTGGTTGTGACTGAACTAATTTGAACCCCGCGCGGTGCTGGTGGGGGAGGAGGGGGCGTTTTCACGCCCCCCCCCCTCCCCCCTCCCTCAGGATTTTCGAGAATATCTCAAAAACGGCGACGCTTTGGTACACCGGTTCATACATTTTTCCGCACATGTGAAAATTTCAGACCCTGGTCGTTCAAGGTCAGGTCACCAGGTCACGTCAAGTGACCTTCTTACCTCGGAAAAAGTTCAAAGGCTCGCTGTAGCTACACCGACTGAGCGATCGCTGTGAAACTTCCAGCAATTGATAACAGTAACATTATGTATAACATGTTTTTTTTCGGAATTACGATGTCTGTGACCTAAGATCAGGTGAATTTTGCGGAAAATTGAAATGCACCACTTTTGGACGAATGCCATTCTTTTAACACCCTCAAACATTAGTTTATAGGTAAACATGACACACAATCGGAAAATTGTACCCGTGTGCCCCTGAGGTCATCGCAGGTCATGAGGTCACCAGCAGTTTTTGCTATAACTTTTGATAGAGACGTACTAGAGACGCAGTGGCGCAGCCAGGATTTCGTTTCGGGGGGTCATCGCCTCCAAAGCGGGCCCCCTATAGTGTGCGGGCCCCCACTCATTTTTCAGAATCTCTCCATATTTCATACACATTCTGCTGAGCGGGCCCTCTTTACCTGCACGATAACCCTAAGCGAGTATGAATCAGAAAATTTGGATAGAACAATAGCTCGGTAATCACCCGGTGCTCAATTTTTACGCAAACTGACCACAACAGAAATATGTTACTATGACGTATGAATTCGTATCTTTCGAGGCCGAAAAGTGTCCCTTCCGCAATATGCATAGCATATACATATGTAATCGGAACTGTTGCCTGCTTCTGTCGGACAAGATTTAAGTAGGCTCATGTGCCTGTCCTAAGCCATCTATTGGCTGCTGTAGTATCTAGATTATGCCATTATTCTTCTTCATTACGTGAATTCGCTCACAAAAAGTTTTAACCCTCGCCGGCACAGGGGGGAGGGGTTGATGATGCACCCCCTAAGGTTTTTTTTCGCGAATAACTCGCGTAAAAGTGGCTGATCGCGACGTAACTTTCAGCACCCTCGCGTTGATCAATTTTACACCTACCTACCCTAGATTTTTCATGTGTTGACCCTGACCCAAATGACATTTGACCTCCTTTCCGAGACCATGTTTGGCCAGAATCGCGGTTCGGCGTATGCCGGCTCGTATTAGCCGCGCGTTTGTACAGGGTGTTTCACTAAAAGTGTCAAAAAGTAAATGGCTATTAAAGTTATATAAAATGTGCAAATCACATGGTTGCGCACGTGGCTTTGTTGCAAATTTTTGGACATTTATGCTTTGTCCATTTAAGATATATTTTACACTCATACGGAGCGAGGGCAGGAGGCCAAAGTTACTAGTCGCTTTTTTCCTTATGCAGAACAAGAACAGGTTATTTACACCGCAACAGGAGGGGTGAATTACACTTACCTTTGGTGCCATCAGAAACATTGAAACCGTATGCCGACTTTTCATGAAACGTTTATTCTCTCACCTCGCTACGTTCCAGATTATAAAAGGTTCAAAGGGCTTCTTGAGAGGTTTAAAAGGGTTCCTTCGATGCCGGTCCCAGTCCAAAAAAAAAGACGGGGTCCCCACCTCTCGGCGGAAACCGTTACAAAGGTCGGGGTCTTTTTGGGGGTCTTTGAAGATAACAAGAAGCTAATTTTAACATCAGAAATAGCCAAGGCCTTACAAGTTATCAAAAACAGCCACTATAATGGCTGTAACCACCAGGAACTGGCTGGATTAGAAGTTCCTGCGCCGAAAAATCAGCTGCCTCGCCGCCCGCCTCTGGCCAGCGCAAAGCCCCGATCTGTCACCGCTTTACTTCTGGTTTTGGTCAGTAGGTAGCTCAGTTGGGCAAACTAGGCGGCGGGAATCAAAATATGGAGGCGGGCGGAGCTTTGACCATATATGGGCATACGTGCAGATCATCACAGAAACGTCAATTCTTCAGCAACCGGCTACAATTTCAAGATAGTTTCTTCACAAAATGAAGAGCAACGTTGAAGCTACCCGCCAGGCACGAAACAATAGCCCTAACCTCTTTGGTTAGTTTAGGAAAGCGTCTTGAAAATAATCAAGATATTGATTCATCACGGCGGCTAATCCCGGCGAGAATCAATATTTTGATTCCGCAAACAGCTGGCTAATCATTATTTTGATTCTGAAATCAGCTGGTTTATCAATATATTGATTCTGCGAACTGACTTTCTGCAGACGTACTTCACTCTTCAAATTGATTTATGGAATGTTTCTTGTGTGCAAATAATGCAAATTCAATAAATTCATGAATATATTATCAGCACAGGATCGTGTAATTTTTTTCTAGACCTTATTCCCACGGTAGACCAGGGATTTTCAGCACTCACCCTGGCTCCCTGCTCAAAGCTGCAAGCCTTCGAGGGAATGCGTGAAGGGAGCCGTGCTGACCTTCGTATAGTAGTTGTACTGAGTCGGAGCCGGAACCGAAGCCCGACCCGCCCGACCATTTTACTCGGAGCCGGAGCCGGAGCTGGAGCCGAAGCCGTCTGACATTTTCACGGCTCCACATCCCTGCTTTGTTATTTCGCCGAACAATATACTCAAGCCCGTTGCACAAATTGCACAATTTGAATGAAAATATGATACACGGATGTATTTGCATTCGCAAATAATACGATGATATTTATAACACATTTCACAACGATCCCTGCAATTGCCACACATTGACATTTGCCATCACAAAGCCCTGTCGTTGATGCTCACATCCCATGCAAAGCAATACTCACTTTTAGGACACGTCTCTTATTCAATGTGGTTACGTATTTGCAAAACATGCAGTTAATAATATTTGAAACTGAGACCTAACCAATAAGACATACCGTGGACAGGTAAGAAAAAACAAATAAACGTCTGGAGAATGACCTCAACGTCTCGATGTTGCCTAATTACAAAGAGCAATTTTCGGTTTCGAATCAAATAGGTACATCAAAACAAAATTTGTACAGATACACTCAATATAGGGTTTATGATTAGCACGGCTACCTAAAACATCAATCCTGTCAGGTTGAGCCACTTATGTGCACACCCAAAGCAGGTCGCTTCGGAACACCACAAGATCCCATATTACCACTGAAAACGGTCACCAATTGGTTACTGATCAGCATCTTCAGAACATTCTCGACCGAAAAGCTATCAGTCCTGTCTGTGTTTTGGTCAGCTCGTTCTTTGACAGGTTGGTGACGCTGTCGTCATCCGGCAGGATAACACGTGGCGCATTTCACCCTCGGCCCCGCCAGCCACATACACACTTCCTTACGTCATATTGCTTCTCGCCACGAGATCAAAGTTCAAAAGGTCGTGATGTAGTTAGTCTCCGCCCAGCCCGAGTCAGGTACTCCACAGGTTGGTCGGGTGCGGCCAGGTCCGCGCAACGCCGCCCTACTTCGGTCGACGCTCTGGTTGACAGGGATGGCGTTGTCATACAGTTGCCTGTCGACTGAACAGCGATTCAAAACGCCATCCTTGACCCTCTGAAGCCGATCCCCGCAACGACCAGTGTTTGATCCTTGGTTGACCTGCAGCAAACAACAGAACACAATAATTAGGACATTTGTGGACAATAAATTAGGAAACTATATGTGTTATTAATCTACTTGTTCAGCAACTATTAATTTTAGAATATATTCAATAAAAAATTAAATACTTAATGTCACTTAAATTTCCACTGAATGCCACCAGGTGCGCCAACAACTGTCATCTCATGCAGTTATATAAATTCTGCCAAAAAAGTAGATCTGAGGCCAGTTGTACCAACAGAAAAATAGGTGGCTGCTGGATTTTTTTTTTTGTCTAAAAGTTACTTCACATACAGAGCATGAACGGTACAGCCCTATCCATTTACGTGCCCATCATGTTAACGCTCCATATGTGAAGCAGTCTTTAGGCAAAAAATTCCAGCAGGCAGCTATTTGTGTTGATAAAACTGGCCTCTAAAATTAACTTTGGCATGGACAATCCTGAAAATTAACTATCCAGCATTCCCTGGACTGACGTACATTAGACACGTAATTTTCTTGAAGATCACGCATAGTGTTAATATGGCTTACACCATTCAGCAACTTGCTTTTGTTACACTTAAAATAAGCATCATTAAATAGGTAGGAAAATTGGGCGAAGCAATTACAAGCCAAGCATACATACCTACTATTTAGATAAGGCAAACACGAACATGCACTATGACCTTTCAATCTTAACTCGGAACAAGTCAATAACCTAGTTGCCCTTAAAAATTTAAATGCTACAAATTAAAGTTGTAGCAACAATTGGGTGAGTGAGACACAAGCAGAGGCTAAAACATCCAAATTATGTAAAATACTGGACATGCACTGCCCCCATTTCATGAGTCCACCCAACAATTCTATCATGTGAGACAAAACATTAGGCTTCTTGTAACTAATTTATACCATAACTTTTAAAGGACATCATATTTCACTGAAATACTACACCTAAGACTTCATTTTCAAAAAAATATAGCTTAAAAAGACAATAGAAGAGTGAGAAGGCGTCCCGCGCCGCTGACGTCGCTACCGCGCCATGTTCCTAAAACCATCTCTTAAAACGAGTTTTCGGTAAGAAACGTTAAGATCACATGCCTGAAATTGAAAAACACACTTCAAAGTATCTTAAAATATGATCCATTGTTACTTACACTTCAGAAAAGGTCGCTTAAACAAAATAAAACCGGGAGCACTACGTTGCATCTAAACACCCACGACGCCGGCGCGAAATGGCGGGAACCGGAAATCGTGGCTAGATACAAAGAAAAAGAATATTTCTTATAAATGAATTATACAACTAAATAACGCATTTTTTATTTTCTTTTAGACAAAATTATGAAAAAATTCCAAAGGCTCGTCGTTAATGGTAAACAGAGCAAGTTTTAACAGCACGTTTTTGTTGAATTATGGCGGCGAAATCTTTATGCCATTCGTAAAGGTACGCGCGACAAACGGCTGATAGCCATCACGGTATATAGAGAACTAGGTAAAACCGGTTTGCCGCTTCAACACTAACCCCGCGTTCGATGTCTCACGGACGACGAAGATTCTACGTCGTCCGGCCAATCCCGTCCAAGGTCAGCGGGGGCCCGGCTGCGGTTATGGAACGTGATTGGCCGGACGGCGAAGAATCTTCGCCGTCCGGGAGACATCGAACGCGGGGTAAGGTATATTGACCACTATTTTCAGCTGACCTCTTCAGTCCAAAAAAGAAAACTATGCCACAGATTTCAATATGTTTTATTATTCAAATATATATTTTTAATTAATGTACAGAGAGCACAGCTTATCAAAATCTGTAAAGTAACAACGAAAATAAATTTTTGTCCAACTCCGCCATTTCGAAAATAATGGTTCTAAGGTTTTAGGAATTTGTCAGGGACAACATTATTTTTCTACTTTTAAAATTTAAAATCAAAAATGAAAAAGTAATATCATGGGCAAATATTGTTTCCTTGAATTACAAAATCAGCATAGTGCTGAACTTCTCAGCTTACCGGACCTGCCATTGTTCTACCACAAATTATCGATTAATATCAGTGATGTGGTGTTCTCAATATGGTCAGAAAACATCAAATTTAAATTATCTTTCAGAATATGTGCATTATGTTGCCTTTGAAATGTTAAAAACTGAATTTAGATGATGTTGAATACACAGCCGCCATTGGTGTCCTTGGTCACCCTGTTCCACTAAATGTAGTATTTTTCAAAAACTAGCCTATGGCGGTGTCTAAAACATTTACCAAAATTTACAAAATTGTCTACACTATTAGAAATCAGAAAGTTTAAAGCTCTATGACCTCTGGCATTTTGACAAATTACTTCCGAGTCTAGAACTTAGATTTTTGAGAACCCAACATTTCTGAACGAAATAATTGCTTCTTGGTCTAACTGTCAATCATATGCTTTCGAAAGTTCTTTATTATAACCAAAATTTAATTTTCTTTCTAGATATGTATATTTACTTGCAATTTAGAAGGTTTTAAATATATTTTTTTGGTCTAGAATGAATTACCATTCATTCTGCTGAAGGTTACACTATGGAAATTAACGAAATATTACTAAAAAACAAGCCTATGGCGGTGTCTATTTCAAGATGAATAATAAACAAAATTCAATTGTCTATTTGTTGATATAAGTCGTAAAGCATGATGACCTCTGGCATTTACGAGATTTGGTGTTGAAAACTGCAGACCATGATTATCACCCACTGTTGCGCACAGTTTTCTGTACTGCTTTCGCTAGCAAACGCCAGTGCTCGCATTTGATTGGTCAAACGGCGTTTCTTTTGCTAATTGAGAACACTCTTCAGTTTTATTTTGGTTTCTGTGTATTTTGTTGATTTTGTTGTCGGACTTGGTAGTATTAGGCAAGGGTATTAGGCAAGGCATTAGGCATTTTTTCAGTCGCACCGTTCCCGTGGTATTAACTATTATGGTAAGCACTTATAATGTTTTATTGTGAGAGGCTACGTGTGCCAGGTTGGGTGATTTTGTTTTAAGTTTTTGTTCTATGGTTTAGTTGAGATGCAAATCACCAGTGCAGAGTTTGTTGCAAGCTACAAGGCGTACATTGTTTGTTTTTATTGATTTGTCATGCCTCAATTACCAATCCTTCGAAGTATGTAGTCTACCGCAAGTCTTTATAAACCTAATACCTAGATTCATTTTGTGCATCCGCTTTCTCTTTGCGCGCTTCCATGGTGTTCTCCCTCTCGATTCCATCCTCTTCTTCTCCTCCGCGTATCAACCCCCTGCTTCGGATGGCCATTGAGGTAGGTGCCTTTGGAGCTTGCAGCAATGAGCGTTAGAAATGAATTACCAGAAATAAATGATGCTGTGAAAATTAATCAACAAAAGCTGACAAGGATTAGCTATTAAAATATTATATCACTAAGAAAGTATATTTGTGTAGCGATCATGAAATACATGCCCTGCCCCTCTGGCCAATCCTGGTCAATCCTGCTCCGGGTTGTACAGACAACTACCCTATGTGGGAAGCCCAAAGCTCCCCCAGGAGTATGGCCATAATAGCTGGGTTTGGTGAGTGTCACAGGACTGATGCTGATGCTGATGATGTGGTCGGGCTGTCACCTTTGCATCGGTAGCCCTATAAACACAGGTCGGGTGGGAGGGTATTAGTAGGATAAGCTTAGGATGTTGGTTAAGCCCTTTCCTCGTCACCCGCCTCTGTCACCAGTTTTCTCCTCAGCCTCCATGGGCTCCAGAGCTGTTAGGTAGAGTCCATCCTTGTTCTGCTCCATCTCTTTTCTATCATCGTTAAAGAGGAATGCTTTCAGTACCTTGTTGGGTTCTTCCACATATGGCCTCAGTAGAGCTAGGTTTCATTGTCTTTCTTCTGTTAGCTTGGTACACTCTAGCATAAAATGGACTTCATTTCCTTCTTCTTTTCCACAGAGCTTAATCACCGTTATCACCTCATCCACCGTCTGCTCAATGTGTGAGTAATACGGAGACAAAGGCTGCTTGATAATTAAACAAGTTCTGTGCTTTCTCAGGAAGTCAGTACTTTGTTAGATATGTGATGAGTTTAACGTAGACAATTGCAGTCTTATGTGTCGATGAAACTAAAAGTCTTGGAAACATGATAAGCTTAGCATAACATTCTGCCATTGTGTTCATGTGGCTGGCTTTGTCGTTTCTATTGTAGGTATGCTTTGTGGATTGGATTCTGAGTTCTGACCATATTATCTTTCACCAGGTTCATTGCTGGCAGTGGTTCAGGAGGCAGTGGTTCGATCCCAGCTGTAGAACGTCACCTGCAGGAAGTAGCATTGTGATGGCCAGCCACTTGGCGCTTGTATCCAGCCACATTGTCCAGAAACCATCACGTCATTTCTAGGTCAGTAACTGTGTGGACCAGTCCAAGGCGTCCACAGACCACAGGTCATGCTGTATCGTACCACGTCACTAGGTCAGTGACGTAATGGCATTGTGTGACCCGTCGCCGCGTCCTTATGAGGACCACTCACCTATAATAGGTGAGTGGCTCGGGGGAACTTTTTGTGTTGCCGGGATGGGATGTCTGCTAAATGCGGGTGCCGCTGCAAGTGTCGTGACGTATGATGGGTCTCAGGTTCGGATTTCGATTTGTCGAGTGAGAAATGTGTGTACAGGCTAATGTAATGTTATTTTAGCTGAGTGTGCGACAGGAAACGTTAATCATGAGCTATGAGTCGTTGTCGCCGTGGCTCGTAGTGGTATTTGACGACCGTCGTGACCTGTGACGGTCACCGTGACTGCTATGTGATGGTCGCCGCGGCTGGCATATGACGGCCGCCGTGACTTCTATAACGGCCTTCGTGACTGAAACGTGACGGTCGTCGTGATGTGCCGCGACTCGCTGCTTTACAGGTCCCTGGTCGCGGGTGCTCGAGCTGACTGTGTCTTCAACGGCTCCACGGTGACCAGCGCCGCCACCGCCGAGACCATCCGATTCCTGAAATGATAATGGCCGTACACGAACAAGAGGCTCTATGCATCCAGGTGCAAGTCAAGCGCCATGCTCAGAGGCGTCATCCGGAGAAGGCCGCACAGTGCACTTTAGGCTGAGCTCGGGTGTAGTGCGCGCTGACGGATAGGATGAAATTACGGGCCGGCCATCAGATTTCAGTGCGGGGATCAAGATGGTCGGAGCCGATATGGCTCGGTTGATGGTGTGTCAGGGTTGATTGAGAGTGGAGGCGAGACACCCGGATGTGAAGGATACACCGATACGGGTCTCGACGTCGTCTCGCAATTTGTGCTATGTAATATGACGGCTATGCCATGGTATCATTCACTCTCGATGCGCTAATAAGTAGTAAATAGGACAGAGACTGGAATTAATATTATTATATTTGGATGTAAGGGCCAGGTTTTGGCCAGCGCTATATTAGAAATCGTGAGCGTGCTAGTTGCAATCAATCGCGCGCTTCTTGCTGAGCATCTGTGAGCGAAAAATACTTTCTCTGGAACGTTCGTCGTAAAATATGTGTACCTATCTTTGGAATAAGTTGTCAGAACATGAATGCATTTTTGGTGTCCACTGCAGCTGCTGTTCTGGAACAGAAACATACCGAGATCGGCTGTGTATGTACTATGTACGCTGTGGCAAAATCAAGCAGCCGGGCCATGAGTCAAAAGCGATATGTGAATTAAAGTGGATATATTTCACTTTTTCAGTTTAATCATACAGATAACAGAAATGCGTCAAATACTGATCACACCCGGTTCCAAACAACTAAACGCCTGCGATCACTGGAAAGTAAATAAACAATAGATACCCATGTGCCTGTCTTGTCTGGCGTGATCCGAGACTCTCTCTCTCTCTCTCTCTCTCTCTCTCTCTCTCTCTCTCTCTCTCTCTCTCCCTCTCTCTCCCTCTCTCTCTCTCTCTCTCTCTCTCTCTCTCTCTCTCTCTCTCACTGTTGTTGCTGACGCACAAAAGGACAACACGGCCGAATCGCGGCGATGGAGAGCACGGAACGATGCTGGTGACTGGCGGACCAGCGAAAACAGGAAAGGAGATGAATAGCTCTAGCTCCCGTCCGCGCGGAAGGGCGCTGATTGGCGCGGCTCGCAGACTCCATTGGCTCATCAGACTGTTGTTGGTTTTCTCCTTCCCCTCCCACAAGCGTAGCCAGGTAGCTAAGTTGTGCGCGGAAGCGGGCGGCCAGAGCGGCGCTAGGTGTCGCCCTCCCAGCGACCGGGCAGTGCAGCTGGACGTGCCCCGGATGGTCCGCCTCTGATCTCGGCACACTCGGCAGAGTGCGGCCGGACACTCCATGGAGTTGCATAGCGTCGATAGGCCGTATGGTGTCGCTGTCGTAATTGTAAAAGCGTAAGTAGAAGGTTGAAGCAAGATATAGAATGCTTCTCTTTACATTTAATATCGCAAAGCACAGCTTTATGCGCTGGCTACGATATGTGCGTGTCGGTTGTGGCAGTGATCATCGAAGAAATATATGATTTATGAACGTTTCTTTATCATAGAATGATAAAACATTGCGATATTTGCCTGTTGTGAAGAAAACTCCTATACTGCGGCTCTATCGTCCGGAATTACTCGTGTTTGATTACGACAATTCCGCCACTCTATCAGCTGATTTTTGTTTCCGAGTCACGTGACCAACCGGTGTCTCCCTGATAGCCATGCAGCGAAAAATTGAAGCAGGGAAGTTTTTTGTATTGACATGTCAAAAAATCTCGCCGTCATGGGGGTTATTTCCGCCGTAACGGGTCGTCTGAAGGTGGGAATGTCCCAAATTGAATCAAAATATTGATTCTATGCCCATATATGGTCAAAGCTCCGCCCACTAGAATCAATATTTTGATGCCTCCATATTTTGATTCCCGCCGCCTAGTTTGCCCAACTGAGCTCTCGCAGAGCTGAGGAAGACTCAAGTCGCATCACTTCGGGAGCCGAAGAGCACCATTCAAGGCTTTGCCGACAGCCTGGACGCTGAAGATGAAAACGGGATGTGAGGCACCTCCGGACACGTGCCGAAAGGGTGCATCAAAAGAAGGGGCGGATATGTGGAATAGGTTTGAGTGACGGTGCTATCGTTTTTATATATTCAAATGTCCAACAATTGCGCCAGACTGCAAAGTATGGCAATTTCGACGAGATCTCGTCGGTGCGGGCTTGTTCGTCTGGTGCGGATTTCGGAGTGGTGCGGTGCGGATTTGGCCTGTGCGGTGCGGATTTGGCTTGGACCTTGCTGCGGTGCGGACTTCGCTTGGTCTTCTTACCCGGCCGGGTTCCCTGCCGGGTTCCCTGACTGTTCTTTGGAAAGCCCTACAAATGCGTGTCAGCCACGGTGACGCACGGTGACGGACCAAGGTTTTCAATTAACTCTACGAACTAACAATTGCGGCAGAACAAATCCATTCTCGCCTCGGGACCCTCGGGAATTATCGTGAAGACGACGTCATTAGAACGAAGACTGGTTGCGGTGGTGACTGGTGATTTGTGTGCTATATATGTCACATTTGCGAGCAGCTGGTTTGGATTGCCAATCAGCGCGCTACTTTGGAATGACATCATTGTTTTTACTCATACGAAAGTTTGTTGGCGCGATTTGATCAAGGCTCGTGACATTCACACGTGACATATAGCATGTAGATTGTAGAAGGCCCACGAAGGGGAGAAGTTCCGAATGTCACGTGACCCAATATGCCCTCCGGCGCCCTATTTTCACCGGCGTCCGTCTATTTCAGGGGGCGTCGAAGTCTAGTTCCTACCAACCTGGCACTCCCATGCCTACGTCACCACGAGGACGCCCGAGGGCATTTACATGTTGAAGATAGGGAAATTGCCATAGTTTAGAGCCGCCTGAAGGGCAACCTTGAGATAAATGATAATGTAAATGTGTGCTAATATGATCATCAACATGTTATTTATCCAAATCCAGGGCCAATTAATGGATAACTTGTCACGTTTTCCAGTGGTGATGCGCTAACTTTCGTGGTTCTTGCAGCCAATAAGGGTGTTTCATAGTGCGATTCAGCCGCATTATCGACTTTAATGCCCTAAACCGCCACGAAACATACGATTTGCAGCTTCCTGGCGTGATAGCTGCCAGTAGGGCTCCGGAGTCGGAGTCATGAAGTCGGTCGGAATCGACAGTTCTGACCTGAGTCGTCGAGTCAGAGTCAGAGTCGATTTTAAAAGCTGGAATCTGAGTCAGTCACCGAAATTCGATCCCCTCGGCAGACCTTTCAGGGTTCCGTAGTCGGAGTTGTAGTCGGTCGGAGTCGACAGTTCTGACCTGAGTCGTCGAGTCAGAGTCAGAGTCGATTTTAAAAGCTGGAGTCTGAGTCAGTCACCGAAATTCGATCCCCTCCGCAGACCTTTCAGGGTTCCGTAGTCGGAGTTGTAGTCGATCGGAGTCGACAGTTCTGACCAGAGTCAGAGTCAGAGTCGATTTTGAAGGCCAGAGTCGGAGTCGGAGTCACCAAAATCCATTGCCTCCGCAGACCTGCTAGGACTGTGAAGTGTGGAGTCGGAGTCGGTCAGAGCAGACATTTGAAATCAAGGTCAGTTGATTTTTGAAAGTCTGAGTCAGAGTTGGAGTCATCAAGAAACCCATTGACGATCCGCAGTACCATGCAGTAAGGGCGCTGCCGATCGATGCCCTGAATTGCCAATGAATTGAATGAATAGATGACAATAAATTAGGTAGGTACCTTCTATTATTCATCCCCTGCCACTTGGAGGACTTACTTTCAGTAGAAAAAGACGCATTATTGTTTGTTTGTTTGTTTATTTATTGACAAATATTTTTTGAGCAGTTTATAGGGATACAGACACAAAACACAATGATAGCACCTCGCTGGTGCAAATCATTGCTAGATAGATGTTGAAATGTGTTGCCATTGAAGAATCTACTGATTTTCCTGGCGGCTCTCATTTTCAAGTAACTACTGGTCTTGTAAGATCTCTTGATTGCTCACCGTCTGGCGTCTTCCAAGGTTTTCTGAAAGCTAATCAAATGTTACCATGGTGCTCTTGATTGCATGGCGCTTGCTGGTTCTGGGTTCTTAATTGGTGGTTCTTGCGTCTGATCCTGTTGCTTCATGTTCCATCACATCACATTAAATTTCTAATCTAATGGAACAGACACTTTTACCTTTTATTTCACTATCAGTCGACTTGCATTTACCCCTGTGGCCTGCTCGCCCTTTTATTTCGACGCTAGAATTTACCAATTATTGAAAAAGCCTCGGATAAAAAAGCAAGAAAAGTATGTCAAGTTTAATAATTGAGACGGTCCTAGAACACCAGAAAAAAATTCAAAAAGCCTGTCCATCTCACTTCCCTCACTTCATAACAAAAACGCAGCAAAACATGCGAAAGAGTCCTTAGCAACGCCCTAGCAACGCGTTTGTCTGAAGTGCGCAATATGTGTACCATCTGGAAAATTTAGTAGCTACTTGATTATTCAACTAGAGTTGGACTATATAAGCTAGGCTTTTATATAAAAAATAAGTATTTGCTTATTGAATTTATAGCAACTGGTCGCTTAGCTTCGAAATAATGATTTATTACAAAAAAAGCTTGTTTGCGACATATTTGTAAAGAAACAGCGGAAATAGCTTTGACTCGTGCGCTATTCTAGTACATTTTTGGTAGAAAACTTCGTCCAACCTTATGTTTTAGGGCCTTGGTCTATTTGCTCTATTTCAAACTTCAGGTACAAGTACGCGGTGCGGTCCCGTGGTGAGCGTTGCTCAAGCCGTAAGTGAAACTGAAAGTGGACGGGAAATAATTATAGTAGATGAATTAAGTCCCTTGCATTATAATTGCCTGTGGGTTCCCGGTTCGGTGCGGATTTTTGGGCTCTCGGCCCGCTTCGGTGCGGATTTTCCGGCTCAGTTTGAAGGGTTGGTGCGGATTTTGAACTTGGGCCGGTGCGCCTCGTCGACCTGCGTGCCATACTTTGCAGTCTGGCAATTGCGGATGAAATGGTATGCAAATTTCCGTAGAAAACATTGTTATTATGTGCATTATGACCTTTTACTTTTTGACACTTTTAGTGAAACACCCTGTAGTCCTTTCGTGGTTTCAAGCGTTCAAACATGTGATTTCATGTTGCTCCCATGCATAAGGGTGATGTCAATGTCACCTGAAGGTCAGGTCAGGTCAGGTCAGGTCATTGACTTATGATGACCTCGGTACACTTTTTCAAGTAATGCATGTTTCTAGGCTATTTTTTAAGCTGAATTCGATTTTAGCAACCATTTGAACACTTAAGAAGTAGTTTTGGTGCCTTCGTAACATGTTACGAAGCTGTCAGAGGCGGTTGAGACGCACCTACTACGAATACCCGGCAGGACCCCTACTGGTTGACATGACCTGACCTGACCCGACCTGGCCCAAATGCATAAAGATATCATCTGTGATCAAAACTAACATAATATTCGTGATCAGCACCCCGACAAAAACCCTATAGCAGCCACATTTTACGACGTTCTAACAGATCCCGATTTTCCCGACATTTGGGTCATTGACCTGACCTGGAAGGTCAACCAATGGCCTAGGACCTTGGAATTGGGTATTATCGGCTTCCTCTCGTCACGGGCAACACGCTCGTTTTTTTCCGTCTAGCTCGATCATGGGCCAAACGCGAGGAAGGGGGTCGTACCCTCCCTCCCTTGTGCCGTCGAAGGACGCAAAATGGCCTGAGCCGGCGAGGGTGAACGCGCTCACATGGGATATGTATTGCCTTGGGCCTGGTTTGTTGTGGTGTGGTGATGTGGTGACGTAGATTCTGTCTGTTACCGTG